TTAAAAAAATCAATAAATTTCTAATTATGCATCAATTAAAGTTCTACAAAAATTAAATAAAAATGAGGTAAATAATTTAAACAACAGACTCAAATTATACTACAGAGATATAATACTAAAAAAGTATGATACTATCATAAAAAATTGATCATTTGTATAGACTTGAGGATCCATGCAAAGACCTATGATTCTCCAGCCACCTGATTTTTGAAAAAGAATCCAGCAGTACACATTGGGGAAAATACATGGTGTTGGCCAAACTGGATAGCTACACGTTGAAAAATGACACTAGATCCCATCTTTGACTCTGCACAAAAGTCACTTCCAGCTGGATTAAGGGTCTCAATATAAGATCTGATCCCAAATCTGGTAGCGAGCTCCCTGTTCCTTTCTTTTAACAGTTCCATCTATGTTTAGATAAGTCAAGGTCCTTTTCAACCATGTCTGGCTTCACTTGGAAGCATGAATGAGATGTTTCCTCTAATTTGACCCTACTCTTTGCAGACTAGACACTGTTTCAAGTCCATCTCAGGACAGGTGACTCACCACAGTTACAGGACATTGTGAGAGATGTTCCATAGTCCCCTGGAACTTGTTTGACCTTGGAGAGCAAGGGGCAAAAACTGTCCTTTAATCTCTCTGATCACATTAGAATAGGCCTTAAAGTAGGGCTGTTAAACATCCAATAAGGTTAGTTCTACCAGTCTAACACTTTTAATTATCATATGCTATGTAGATAAGGTTTGGGTAAAGAACCAAATATTCTCAGATAAAGATTGACTAGATTTATATTTTGTTCCTTAAACTAGTTGACTAAACTCTGACCATAGAAATTTTAAGATTATGTGTATATTATTTTTGTCTCAGCCTTTACATAACAAACCTAAACAGACCTTCATCACTTGCTTAGGCTTTCTCATTTTTTCTGTTTTGGAAAATATCTCCATTCCCATATCCTTTTTACATCTTTTTACATTCTCATTTTCTTTTTAGAGACATAGTAATATTAACAAATATATTTTCCATCTGTTGTGAGACTTCTTTTCCTGAGGATGCTAAGCAATGCTTATTCCCTTTTAAGGTTCTAGTGTCAAGGCAAAGTTTGATTACAGTTTTACTGGGGAACCAATGAATTTACTGAGCTTACTTACAGAGACAACTGAGGGGTTGCTGAGGTGTATGTATCACCTGAGGGTATGCACAGTGGAAAGTCTTTACCCAGCATGGGTCATGCCTTCTTTTCCTAACCTTCCCCAGATTATATACTTTAGCCCTCCCCAAATCCAGTAGGCCATGTGTGATTAGGATCAAATCACATACAGTTGCCTGGGAAGAGTGGCTGGATACTCTGCTGAAGATCCAGTGACCCTGCTTGGGTTCAATGACCCTGCTTGGTTGTCCTTTAATGAATGAGCACAACTGTCAACAAGCCCAATTGTGACGATGTTTAGCAGTCAGGCTCAATGTAAGTCGTCTAAGCAATGCTTATTCCCTTTTAAGGTTCTAGTGTCAAGCTAATGTTTGATTAAAGTTTTACTGGGGGAACCAATGAATTTATTGAGCTTACTTACTGAGATAACAGAGGGGTTGCTGAGGTGTATGTATCACCTGAGGGTATCCACAGTGGAAAGTCTTTACCCAGCATGGGTCATGCCTTCTTTTCCTAACCTTCCCCAGATTATATACTTTAGCCCTCTCCAAATCCAGGAGGCCATTAGGGTCAAATCACATACAGTTGCCTGGGAAGAGTGGCTGGATACTCTGCTGAGGATCCAGTGACCCTGTTTGGCCCTCCTTTAATGAATGAGTACAACCATCAACAAGCCCAGTTGTGACAATGTTTAGGAATCAGGCTCAGCTGAAGTCGTGATGATGGTGGTTATTTCATGAGGAAGGGTCGGCTGTATAGCCCCA